TTCTTCAATGTTCTTTGGCTCAATGTTAGACACAAAGCAATTCATGCCAGCAAATTCTCTAAAATCAATTTGTTTTCCTCTGGTTCGACGACCTTCTTGTGGATCTCCAATGACAGCATCAATAGGGTGGTTCTTCGAAATTCTTGAACCATATCTCCTTACTTCAGTTTCAGATTGACATTCTCCAGGTTGTTCTACAGTAGTGGTAACTTCAGTAGATTCATCTGCTTCACTCCAATCGAACAACATTGAACTCTCTTCACGAGTTGTTTCTGGAATCTGGGGTAGAGGATCCTGAACCTCAGGTAAGATATTCTGATTCTGAATAGTAGGAAGAGGTATCAAGTCTTCATCATCCTGTTGATTGATTGATCTCCTTTCCACACGAGAATCATCGAAAGTTATATTCATCGATTCCATAACTTTCTTCATCCTCTTGTTATAAACGCGATAAGCTTTGCTGTTATGAGAATAACCAATGAATATTCCTTCATCTGATCTTGCATCAAATTTTTGAAGATGACTCCTATCCTTCAAAATATAGCATCGACATCCAAATGTGTGAAAGTATGACACATTCGGCTTTCTTCATTTCCATAGCTCGTACGGTGTGATCTCAGTGTGAGGTCTCAAATATACTCTGTTGATCACATAACATGCAGTATTGATCGCCTCAGCCCATAAGTACTTTGCAACACCTTTGGCTTGCATCATTGATCGAGCCATTTCTTGAAGTGTTCGATTCTTCCTTTCGACTACTCCATTTTGTTGTGGGGTCTTCGGGGCTGAATACTCATGCAGTACTCCAAGATCAGAACAAAAACCATCAAAATTTTGATTCTCAAACTCCTTACCATGATCGGTACGAATTCGATTAACCTTTGATCTCTTTTCATTCATCAGTCTTTTGCACAATTTTTCAAAGATATCGAAAGTATCTCCTTTCTCTTTCATAAAATCAACCCATGTATATCTCGAGAAATCATCAATGCAAACAAGTATGTATTTTTTACCTCCAAGACTGGGTGTATCCACTGGACCCATCAAATCCATGTGCAGCAAATCAAGACAAGTTTTGCTGCTTTGATGTTCCGACTGCGGATGAGAGACACGCTTCTGCTTTCCTCGAGCACAATCACCACAAACGAAGTTAGGTAACTTCGAAAACTTTGGAAGTCCTCTGATAATTCCTTGCTTGCTCAACTTCATCAAGCTCTGTTGGTTGACATGGCCAAGTCTTGTATGCCATAGAAGGGCTTCATCATCTTTTGAGATCAATGCAACATCCACTGGTTTGTCAAGTAAGTAGCAGTTGTTCCTTGACCTTTTTCCAGTCATCACGCACTCTTTCTTGTTGTTGTAAACCTCACAAGCATCCTTAGTGAACTTCACTAACAGCTCATCATCACATAACTGACTGATACTAATTAGATTAGTACTCAAGCCTTCAACAAAATATACCTTCTTCAACTTCGGTATACCTTTGGCTTCGAGAGAACCATAGCCCACAATTTTTCCTTTGGCTCCATCTCCAAATATTACTTCTCCACAAGTGTCAGCTACATAGTTCTTCAATAGATGCTTCTGATTCGTCATATGGCGTGAACATCCACTATCGAAATACCATCGGGATGAATTTGTTGCTTCTTGACTAGATAGGATGACATTGCACATCATCTTAGATTGATTCTTCTTAGGTCTCCATTCCATTCTAAAATTCACCATTTGTTTCAGCTCATCTGAGGGCCAATTAACCTTCTTTCCAGACATCAAATCCCTAGCCAGCTCGAAACAGTGAGATTCAGCATGACCAAATCGAAAACAGTATTTGCAGTTACTCTTCTGTTGTAACGACGCGTTGACACATCTGTTCCTTCTGCGATTTTGATTTTGTCTCTCATTTCTGTTTTCTTTGGGACCTTCAGTGTTCTTCCCTTTTGCAGGTTTCTCTGGAATCTTCGCATCAGTAAGCAAACCTCCTTTCGCAAAGGTAGTTGGATTCACCTTCATGGATTCTTGATAACCAATCCCACGGTGATCTCCAAATGGCTTTCCAATCGATAAAACTTCATCGAGTTTCTCTTTTCCTTTTCTGAGTCTATCAATTTCTTCTCTCAGATCATCACACTTCATTTTCAACTGCTTGACGTCCTTCTGAAGTCCTTCATTGATTTCGAACATTTCTTGATTCACTTCCTCAGCTTTTTCAACTCGAGCTTCCAAATGGTAAACTGTGTTGATCAAATCCTTGTTTCTCTTAACACAAATTTTCTGTTCAGCTACAACTTCCTCATAAGCTTCCATTAGCTCATAGATATCCATCTCGATTGTGTCGTTGCTGTTACATTCTTCTTCAGGAACACTTTCTTTTCCTTTGCTAGATTCTCCTTCTTTGGCAACAAAAGCAACAACGCTTTCATTATCACTTTCATCTTCAGATTCTTGACTGCCTTCTTCATCACTCCAGGTAGCTTGAAATGCATGCTTACCTTTCTTCTTGAATGTAGCACATTCCACTTTCACATGACCAACTCCGCCACATGCAAAGCATTTCGGATTACTTGAGTTTTCTGGCCTAGAAGCAGTGTTGAACTTCTTCTTGTAGCTTTTATCATAAGCTCCCTTTTCTTTGTTGTAACCAACACTTTTGTGTTCTGGATACTTTCGTTGTTCTCCAGTTGTTTTACCACCATAGTGACCTCTGTTTCCAGAATTGTAGTATTTTCGAGCACGCTTTTCACTTATCATTCGAGACAACTTCTTGGACAGCAGAGACATTTCTTCATCAGATCCGACAAGCTCCAGATCTTCGGCAGTAAGAGCAATCCCTTTTGAACTTTCTTCTTCAATATGATTCATCTCCCAATTCATGAAAATACCATTCAATGTTTCAAGATTCATGTTCTTGGTTTTCTTCTTATCCTCAAGAGTAGAGACTTTGATTTTGAACTTTTTGTTCACACTTCTCATCATCTTTCGAACCAGCCTTTGTTCATCATATACTAAGCCAAGAGCATATGCTTGATTTACCACATCTTTGAATCGAGTGTAGAACTCAGACATCGTTTCATCATCAGTCATTTTCAGGGCTTCGAACATACTTTCTACCCTTTGGAGTTTTGTTTCTTTAACTTCAGCAGTCCCTTCGAATGCATTTTCCACGGCTCTCCATGCATCTTTTGCTTTCTTGTAGTTTGAGATGACACGAAACTGAACTTCATCGACAGAAGCAAATATGGCATTTACGGCTTTGGCATTTCCACCAGCAGCAATTTTTTCTTCAGGTGTCCACTCATTTTTCGACTTTAGAATGATAGTTGGGGGGTCGTTCTGAGTTTCTCCAGGCACAACTTTGGTTGGAGGAGTCCAGCCAAGCTCTACAGCTTCCCAAGTTTCATCACCAAGAGTTAACAGATATGCCTCCATCCTATTTTTCCAGTAGGTGTAGTTGTTCCCATCGAACACAGGTGGACGAATAGACGAGATTACTTCACGACTCATCTTGAACCACGGACAGATCTACTCGGGGTATTGAGCACGCTGCTCTGATACCAGATGTTGGAAGTCGCGGAGAGGGGCACGAAAGAGGTCCAACGCCTCCGAGTATCTTGCACAGCGGAACTGTGAAACGTTCGACGTAAACACAGCTTTACAACGTAGTTGTCTCGCGGTTATAACAGAGGTGTGTGTTCATGCACGAATCGATGGCTGAATAAGTGCAGAAAGAAAAACAACACACCAAGTTTGTTTACCCAGTTCGGTTTTCCAACCTACGTCTGGGGGATTCCAATCCAGGAGTCTTAACTAAACCAAACACTTGGTTTACACCATATAAGACACCAAACCGAACTACCCAACCTATCTTCTACCCAAGCTCCATTTAGTTTTACAAACTCTCATGGACTGGCTGTTACTCTACCGCAACAACTCCAGCAGGCCAGCGACCAAGCTAAGAATAAGGTTGTTTACCGGATGAATATCTTCTTCGGCTTTGACTCCAAGAATCCTTCTTCTCGTCTTCAATCCTCCATGGATGAGCTCTCTCAACACTCTAACAGGTGGAGAGAATACTTCTCTAAGTTCTGGTTGCTCACCCACGAATACAAACAAACATCCATATCAAATATATACACATTACACAAAAGACAAAAGCTGACTGTGACAACTTTTGGGGCAGTGTATTCAAGGTCATTTAATGCCATCCAGTATGAGAGGACAATACATGCAGCTTCTCCTGCACGTCCTCTGTCCAATGCATATTCATTTGTCCTATTCCATTGAGTGTAGAACACACAAGATGCATCCAAAAGCTGTAACTCGGTCAACTCTGCAGTTGGCAGGTTTCCCGAAATGGTATCAAACAGAACTTGCAACAACATCCTGCAACTTGCTCATATGCCAAAAGTAGAAACAAAAGGGTTTGGCAATTTTGAATATGCCAACAGATTGATTTCCATGAGTCATGACAGGTCCCCAATCCACATCAACATATGCTTCTAAATAGAGAGAGGACTCTCTCTTTAAATGTAGACCAAACTGTTGTGTCCCCTTCAAGTATCTCGGCACAAGGAAGGCAACCTTCCAATGTATTATGGTTTTGTTTGTGTTGGAACTTTACTATTACATGTGTATGTGTGCTTTTTATTAAAGGAAAGAGTTGAAAATATATTATTCTTTATTTTTCGCAATATGTTGTAATCATGAATATATTGTATTCCTTATTTTTCGCAATCAGCTGTAATTATGTTGTATATTTTTCATACTTTACGTTGTAATCTTGGCTATATAATAGAGTTTTCTCATCACCACAAATTAGTTTCCTCGGAGTCCGACTCATGTGTGCAAGCTCAAAAAGGCATTATATGGTCTTCGGCAGGCCCCTTTGGCTTGGTTTCAGCGTTTCAACTCGTATCTGTTGAAGTTAGGATTTCATCAGACTCGTTCGGACTCGTCCCTATTCTGCCTTCAGAAAGGGTTGTCACTTCTATACCTTCTATTGTATGTTAGATGATATTATCCTCACAGGAAATAATCGGTCTCTTCTTCAGCAGGTTATTGCTCGCACTCGTACAGAATTTGCTATTAAGGATCTAGGGCGGTTGAACTATTTTCTGGGGTTAGAAGTTTCTTATACTTCTAATGGTCTTTTCATTGGACAGGCTAAATATGCTCATGACATTCTGGATCGTGCTCAAATGTTAGACTGCAAACTTGCTGCCACACCACTAGCTGCCGGCACATCCTTGCAGAGTACTGGCTCTTCGTTTGGTGACCCTACTCTTTATCGCTCTCTGGTGGGGGCGTTGCAGTATCTAACTCTTACAAGGCCCAACCTCTCATTTGCTGATAACACAGTCAGTCAGTATCTCCATTCTCCTACCGATGAGCACTTTCTGGCCGTGAAGCGTATTTTGCGATACGTCAAAGGAACTCTTCATTATGGCCTTCACTTCACACATCATCCCAAAACTTCTGTTGTGGGTTATTACGATGCTGACTGGGCCAGATGCCTCGAGACTTGTCGCTCCACTTACAGTTACTCTATATTCTTTGGAGGAAATCTCGTCTTTTGGAGTGCCAAGAAGCAACCTACCGTTGCCCGTTCTAGTTGTGAATCTGAATATCGAGCCTTGGCCAACATCGGGGCAGAGGTTGTTTGGCTGCTTAATTTACTCAAAGAACTTCATCAGTCGCCCACCCTTCCTACGACGCTATTCTGTGACAACAGAAGTGCCATTTTCCTCGGTCAGAATCCTGCCTCTCACAAACGAGCTAAGCATATTGACATTGATTGTCATTTCATTCGTGAGCTTGTTTCTTCAGGCAAGCTGCTTACTCAGTTTGTGCCCTCTCATCTTCAGTTCGCGAACATTTTCACCAAGGCGCTGCCGCGACCGGCATTTGAGCTTCTGCGATCCAAGCTTTGCGTTTGCTCATACCCCATGCAACGCTTGACGGGAGGTATTAAAGGAAAGAGTTGAAAATATATTATTCTTTATTTTTTGCAATCTGTTGTAATCATGAATATATTGTATTCATTATTTTCCGCAATCTGCTGTAATTATGTTGTATATTTTTCATACTTTACGTTGTAATCTTGGCTATATAATAGAGTTTTCTCATCACCACAAATTAGTGATTGATCGCATATCACTCTTACACTTTTAATTTAAAATGCCCAATGTAACAAAATGGATATGAGGAGGAATTAAATATCTCATTGCTAAGTGACTGCAATTGAAATTATGATTCAAAATGCTGCATTTGTGTGCATGAAAGCTGTAAAATAAATTTGAAATTCTACATTTATATTATATATTGTATAAATATGTAATATATATGGAGAGTTACAATTTTTCCCAAATTTTCAATTCAAAAGGTGTCTCCAGAAATCAAACAGGGTATTTACTGAAACTTCAAAGGATGTCTTTATATCTATAAATAGAGGACTTTGCAGGAAGAATTAAAATAAATTCCGTTAAGCAACTAAATAATTCTATAATGCAGAAATCTCTCTCTATACTTAGATTTATATTATATTACATTCACAAACTAAATAATTTTTAATGCATCCGTAGGAATATATATATACACAGTCCAAAAATTTGTTATCCTTATTTATATTTATTTCTCAAGTCCTAATATGAACTTTATGTAATCCAAGGCAATAAAAGATCGAAATATTATCTTTTGAAAGTGAATCTTTCACGAATAAGAAGTTGTCCAGTTATTATCGTAGTTACTCTACACATTATTTTTAATATTTGAATATTATATTTTTGAGTAGGGTGCCATAGTTTTTGATAAGATCATTACTCGGTCGTACAACAAGGTGTTAACCATTCAAAAGAAGGATCAAGGATGGAAGATGCCCGCACAAATAAGCGATCGAGTAGTTTGTCACAAAAATCCTAGTTGAAACGTCGCAGAAAAATAAGCCCGAGTCGAAGAACGTTGATGAAGACACCCTTGAGACATCTTCGGTTGACACAAATAAATCTCCTACCAAAGAGATGGGGGAGGTCATGGAAAATCTGCAGAAACGACATACTTGTTGTAGATGTATCAACCTATTGTTGACGGGTTGTGTAAAATCTAATTATTATAAATACTCAATTAGTTTATATCTTGATTATCTAAACATGTGTACGTAAGTACTGCAAATAATTAAGCTTTAATGTCTTAAAAGGATAAGCCATGGTTGTACATAAATAATGTAGGATCGACATTTGACTAGAATGTCGAATGTGGTGCTATAAATTCAATCATGTTAATATTGGTTATCTTACTTACATTATGTTCGAATGTTTGATGGATTTATAGCTGAAATTTGAGAATTATATTACAAAACTACGAAATTAATACATTGGAAAATATATTGAAACATTTGGAATTTTCACAAAGTTATAGCTCAATGGGGTTAAAAGTTTTGACATTTTTCAAGGGTTGAAGGCATTTCGTGGGATACAAGTGTGAAGCTTGTGCACACTGGGGAACCTTTTGCCAAATTGAATGCAATATTTTTGTTGCGATCATGGCAGAAGTCAGCTAAATATTTTTTTTGACAAACTTGGTGTAGATTGCATCATGGTGGAGGATGCATCAAGCAAGAAATTTCGGGTACTTAATTTCAAAAATTATTTGTGTATTACAATTGAATATATATATATATATTAGCTTACATTGAAAATCTCTAATGACGCAAGAAGATGGTAAGGCAAGGTTATAGCTAGACATTTTGTAAATATGATTGATGAACAAATGAAGGAGAAAACCTTCAAATCAATCATGATAAGAAACATAAAATTCTATGTTTTTAAAATAACAACAAGAAATAAAACAATTTGTTGGATTTATTGAAATTTTGAGTGCTTCTATAGGATTCAAGTATATTTAAAATCGGTGGAGGTTATGGTTTATCGAACTATGGATTTCCTTTGTTGATAGAAGGATATTCAAATACTAATAGGATAAATCATGTCGAAGATCACTCCTCCATATTGGGATGGGTATTCTTGCTTGGGATAGATGTCATTTCTTGGGCTTCCAAGAAGCAAACTCATATTATTCATTTGTCTACGAAATATGCCACAACTAGCAAGGAAAATGAATTCATAATTTCGTTAGCGAAATTGCATTATGGATTAAATTGTTACCAACAATCTCTAGTAGATGTGATAGAAACAACGATTCCTAAAAAATATATCCAAATTTATAATGGGAAGTCTACACACTTAAGCGTTAGACATAGTATGATTCGTGAACTAATCATGAATAAGGTGATCTCGATGAAATTCGTTCGGCACAACATAATCTAGGTTTGACAAAGGGATTGAATTGGGACTTAGTGGACAAGTCATCTGCTCGTATGGATTTAAAATCCATCTAAATCTGCTAAGGGTGAGATACCCAATTCTCTCCTAATGCAACGTTAGGAGCTGAATTCAATGTGGAAATCTCACATTTATTAGATTGGAGTGCACAATGCACACACATCCCCAAGTATGTGTTCGGACTTGCAAGAAACTAGGCTAGGACTTGTTTTCTTAATAACTCATTTGAAAATTTACTAATGTAGGAGCAAAATTAAAGGAGTTACCTGCACAAGTATGAATTTTTTCTGCTTCAAAAAATTTTTGAACTTGCTTTGATTTACTCGTGAATGGACAGAAACACATGACTTGTAACATGACAAGTTAACTCATGAAAATCATAAATTTGTGTGTACTTTACCTTCATGTATTGAACTAAGTTGAAAAGTTCAATCTTGAGGACACATTTATGATATTAGCTACGTGTATTGTACAAAGTGGAAATTCAATCCTTACAATGTTTTCACTCATGTATAAATTTATGTAATATATTTGTTTAATTTTTAATTGGGTTGAGAATTATGCTAAGATGCGGAAGATTTTTGGAATTTTTGCATTTTCTATTATATATATATATATGTATATGTACGTATTTTTAATTTAACACGTCCAACGTGATATGACAATGAGACACAATGGATATGTGGATGAATTAAATTTCCCATTATCTATAAATAGACGACTCTGCAACAAGAATTAAAAATAGATTCCTTTCACTAGTGAATAATGCAAAAATCTCTTAATGCAGGAATATGTACATACTCCAAAAATTCCAAACTTATTTCTATTTATTTCCCAAAGTTTTATTATCTCAATTTTCTTTGTCTGAAATTGAGATGGTCTTTTCGTATTATCTCACCACTAATTTCATGTACCCCAAGGCAATAAAGTGTAAAAATATCATACTCGGAAAGTGAACCTTTCACTATATGAGAAGTTGTCCATCCATTATCGTAGTCATCCTACACACTATCTCCAATTATTTTAACATAAACTGACTAAGTTGATGTGTTGCATAGGTAAGATCAGGTCTGAAGAAGTTCAAGTAAAGCAATCTTCCGATAAATCTTCTGTAGCGTGATGCATAATCCACGAATTCACCTTATTTTGCAGGAAGTCTAATTTCACCTAATAAAGGAGTGTGATAAATGCACATTAGTAGAATATATTTAAACTTTTTTTTACTTTAAATATTTATTTTGAGTTCTTCTCCAGCCCATTTCGTCGAAAAAACAGAAAGCCATTGAAATAAATTCATATTGATGTGTGTTATTAAAAATATGTGCAAACTCGAGGTAACAAAAAGTATTTTGTCACCTTTATATATGATTGCACGAGATATAGCTACCTTAACCTAATGAAGGAAAAAGGAAAAGCAGCAGATGCCTTAAAAAACTTTGAAAATGACGCGGAAAATCAAGCAGGTTGTAACATTAACGCAATTCAGAGCAATCAGAGAGGAGGATATATAGCCCCTTTTGAAGAATTATGTAATGAAAGTATCATACTCAAGGGTAAGACTCCTTAGAAATTGTGTAAATGCAACAAATATTCATACAAATATTCAAAAGTGTGAGCGTGTCTGGCTAAAAGCAGTCGCTATCAGCCTGAAAATGTTAGATTGTGTATTGCTCTAGTGAAAGTCTTGAGTTATTTGAAATATACTCTCAACTTTGACATACACTCACAAGATATCGCCAAGTACTTTAAGCGTAATATCTTGATAACTGAATATTTGTCATAAAAGATTTGTTGTGTACAAATGGATATGTCTTCACGATCGGAAGTGAAGCAGTTTTATGGAAGTCTACGACACAAACTTATATAGTTGGATGCACTATGGAAAAAAACTTCATCGCTTTAGGTAAAAGCGGTTGAAGAAGCCGAATAACATAAAATATTTTTGGATAATATTCAAAGTCAGTACCTCCGATAATGATATATTATAATAGCCAAATGCAATAGCAAATGATAAAAATGAAATTTATAATGGTAAATTTGGACATATCCGACACAGATATAATGCTGTTAGACAATTGATCACTATTGTGGTTATGACTGTTACTATAATACGTCAATTGGAAAATCTTGCAGATCCGCTAACCAAAGAGTTACATCATGACCAAATGTGCAATATGTTAAAGGAAATGTGTCTGAAATCCATAAATTAAGAGACAATTATAGCGGTAATGCAATCAAATCACTCGAATATCTCAAACTTTGGTTCAATGGGAAAACGAAGTCGTAATAGTTCGGCACAAACACTTGATCACCATTTTCTAAAAAGCAACGAGTGTTAGGAAGTGCAAAGTGGTGACGTTGAGTCATTGACTCTTAATAATCGTAAAAGTAAAGTTGGATACTTTAAGATATAATTATCTATGTAAGTGTGAAGTGATGGCCACTTCAAATAGAACACGTATGAATCCAAAGATTGATCCATGGCCAAAACAAATCAAAACGTTATAACAAAATGAGGTTGAGATAGCACTATATCAATATTATTGATTTAAATATATGCAAAAGGCGGAATAGTTCAATGCATCGTCTCAACTAGGCCACTGTTACATAGAGTAATACTGATAAAGAAAGGTTCAAAGTCACAAGCT